TATATATATATATATATATATATATATATATATATATATATGTAAATGAGGATTGAATGGTAATAACAGAAGCTGTCTATGGACATTCCCAAATGGGGTCAAAAATGATGTCATAACAGGTCAAAATATAAAGTGTTGTCCTGTACCTGTAGTGGAAAATTTTCAGAGGAGGGGCACTAAAGATTGGGCATACTCCAGAAAAGGCTGGCCAACTCATGAAATCAGTTTAGTCAGTGGGCATCTAGGGAGAACTAAATGACCTAAGCAGTTCCAAGGATGGGATGACAACTCAAGAACAGTGCAATGGGAATACCAATTAAGGTTAAGGAAAATAAATGGTGACCTCCATCCTGGTTGGAGCTGTGAGATTTCATATGGTGAACAGGCATCTCTGATGTCTCAAATGCTATGCAAGGATGTGCACATAGATGTGGGGAAAACATTTGCTGTAGCATCATAAACCTCCAGATATCATCCCTATGAGTTGTTACTTGGAGTCCAGGAACCAGAACAATGCTGATTTCATAACATAGCATCTTAACCCATGAAAGAGGAATTTGTGAAAAGATGGTCTGAAAGAAAAGGAAGAAACAGAGATTTAGTTATTGTAAACTCTTGCTTCAACAAAAATTGGTGAGAAATGAGAGTGAAGAGGAAATAGTTATGTTGTGTAACGTATACTAATGAGAAGCAACGTCCCATTGAGGTGTATCAAGGGAATGACATTGTGAAGAGAAGCCATTGTCCCCAAAGTAAAAAGGAGATCTTTGGTGATAACTGTGCAAGACAGAAGAGAATGAACACAAGACTTCAAGGCTTGCAATGCCATAGGAGACAACTGAAGTGTTCCCTGAACTCTTTGATCCAAAATCTGAGATATACCAAATACTGTGCTGGTACTAAAATGGGACATGGATTTCTGGATGATCCATCCTTGATGATGTAGCTACTGGATTGTTGATTTAGTGTGTTGAAGAGGCTGGGAGAATAAAGGGATCAGAATAAGCCAATTACCTATGTAGAAATAAAAGCTGATATCAAGTGAATGGAGAAGACCAGAAAACACTTTGACTACTCAAGGAGCCATGACCATGCCAAAGGAGAGAGCAATGAACTGGAAAACTACCTTCTAATGACAGGTGTATAGGAATATCTACCTTTATTATCCAATGGCCTTGATGAAAATTTGACATAAAAGTTTCATATTTTGCATCTTGAAATGAGGAGTCTCTAGGTAACAATTGAGTTCAAACAGGTCTTCAATCCTGATTTCTTTGGAACTCAAAAGAGACAGGAGTAAAAACCTGAAGAAGCATAATATACTGTTTTGATTGCCCCTTTCTGATGATGATCTAAGACTTCCCAATCCAAATATATGCAAACTAGATTAGAAGGAAAAGAAGACCAGATGGTGAAATCCTACAGAAAAGATGAGTGTCATTGAGTTGGCTGAAAAGACTCATCTCACTTACTTCTATGTTTGACCACATAGGAGGGGGTAGAAGAAAGTAGCAGATGTTGATGAGGACAAACTGTGCTTGCTGGTCTTTTCAAGGAAGAGTGATCAGAAGATCAGCTCTTAATGGCATGATTCTCCTGCATGGTAAACTAGTTGAAGTGAAATTCTTGCAAATATAAGATGACATAGAAAAGAATTTCTTTCTAGATTAACAGAAATGTTGGGGGAACAAGTACTGCACAACACAGCATAGAGAGCTACGACATTAAAGGAACATAAGAGCCACATTATTGAGAGCTGCAGCCTAGGAAGATCGCTAGGTAGAAATTTGATCCTAGCAGAGAGAATCGGGAAAATGAGAGTAGCTAATAATTAACAACTGTGCCAAAGAAGAAATTCTTAAAAGAAGACAAAAGCATGCAAGTCACAAAACTGATAATGAGCCAAGGTAGAAGAACACGTGGAAGATTTGCCCCAAATAACCAATTTCAAGATCAAGAACTCAAGAAGAAAAATGAACAGAAGAAGATAATCCTGCTAAAAAGCCCATTGTGTGATGAATGCAAGGAACGTAATGGTTATTAACACTATGTTGATTTCTGTATGCCTCTACAATAACCCAAATATGAGATGAAGGTGGTAGGAATGATTCTAGATTTGAATCCTCTAACATGATATTAGTGTCCTCAAGCATAATAGAAATAGGTTCAATATCAAAAAGAGAACACACATGAGAAAAGAAGAAAAATGAGACCAACAGAAGCTTCATCAGGATTAAAGCTAGCTGGCAAATCCTGCACTTCAGAAAGTGATGGAAAATAGGCCTAAACAAAACAACTGTCTTGTTGAAAATCAAGAGAAAAGAATGGGTGTATCACAATTTGAGCAGCAACATATTTGTAAAAACCACTAAGGAGACTAGCAGACAATTCAGCATTAATGACCCAAATACATTAATCACTGAAAGCTGACAATGTAGCCACAGCTACTAATTACACATTAGACAGACTCCATGAGTAATATCTCAAAAGACATACAGCAATTCCCAATATTTGTAGAAGCACTAGTTTCAGAATCAACACTGACTTTAGAATTCATAACAGAATTAGCAGTATGACTGTTAATAAGAATATATGGCCTTTGGTAGGGAGGGAAGGTTTTGTACGTTCTTCTGACACATGTAATTAATCATGTTGAACTTGAGAGGGTGGAGATTTCTGTGTAAGTTGATGTATATTTTACATTGCATTTATGACATTCAGAATGTGGAGTTACATGGTTGTTGACAGCCAGAAAGTAATTTAACAAGAAGAGGCTTTTAGTATTTTTGAGGTAATTGTACCTGATATAATTTCAATTTTTCTTTCACCTGCCGATTAGTAAGTCATTGATAAAACAATTATAAATTCCACATTTTCATATGTTTTATTTTAATATTCTATGTTTAAAGGAAACACTCCAAGGAACACCAACAAACATTTATGTTGGCAAAGTGTTTTATTATTTCTGATTTACATAAAAATAAAATACATATTACTTAATGATTACTAGCCATTTTCATATTCCAAAGTAAAAAGAAAGAAAAAAAAGACAATTAATAATGAATCCTAGCTTAATTGCTTCTGCCTTTATTAAGTGAATGCCAGCTTTCTCACAAAGACCTGTTTCCTTTAAAAACAATGAAGCACACAAGTGGAAATTTGTGAAAAAACATGTGATTTCTAAGAAAAAAATATTGCAAAAAATAAAATTAAATTCATGCATATCAGTAGTATTAAAGAAAGTGAGAGGTATGAGTTGACTTTTTGTTTAGCTATATACAATACTTATCTGAAAGGTCACTCAAAATTATTTAGTTCAACAATGGAACATTTCTTAAGATTAATATTTTAATGTAGACACTTTTTTATTTCCTTTTACAAACAACTGGTTTTTTGCTTGGAATGTATTGAGAAAGCTAATAAAAACACAATAAAATACTACAAAGCCATGGTTCCCATATAATGAATTCTAATGTTGTTTTATGATGTCAGTGTTAGAAATATCATGGTTTAGGAAATTGTACTGTATCGAATTTAGTATAAACTGACTTTTTGTGTTAATTGATTTGTTTGTTTTTCTTATACAGGATTTCTCAAGAAGTTTTAGTGTGATGTCCAGGTCCACTTTTACTAGAAGTTGTTTTGTTTTTGGATTAGAAAAAATTATTATGCATTAGACCATTCTACTTTTGGTTTTTCAACTGGTTGGACAGCCAGTCAAGTCCTTCATACAAACCATCTCCACTGGTAGCGCACGTGGCTTGGATGTACCAGTTGCGGTTCCTCAAAGAATGAAGGCCTAGCTTATCTGTAATTTCTGCTGCATTCATGGCATTTGGAAGATCCTAAAAAAAAAATGTTATTTTGTAATAGTGACTTATTCTGATACATATTCACACAGACAATCACCATCTTTTTTACTCTTATATCCATTACCTAGGTAACATCTGAAGAAATTTCTCGCAAATGTGCAGAAAGAGATAATTACACAACATTGGTTATATGCATACAGAAAACAACTGAGGATAATAGGAGGAGGGAAGGGCAAACTTTAAAAAACCAGGGTATGTTCCTCTAACTTATCATCAAAACTGTAAGAGAAGACTGGTAGACTAAATGACCACTGGGGAAATGTCCGAGTTCATGGGAGGGTTGGGTATTTCAAACAAACTGAGAATAGTCAAACTCCTTTTAAAATATATATATGTACATGCCCACTAAAAAAACATGAGAAGTCCATTAGATGTGTTAACTCCAGGTGGCTTTACTTTCTACACATTATACAATACTGAAGTATAAACAGTACAACATAATCCGAAGGATACTGATACACTTACCTGTTTATTGGCAAAAATAAGAAGAACAGCATCTTTTAGTTCATCTTCTCCTAACATTCTCATTAGTTCTTCTCTTGCCTCTCCAATACGTTCTCTGTCATTACTATCCACTACAAATATTAAACCTGGGAAACAATGTATTTATGAGATACAAAATAACACTATTTCACCTAGTACATTTATACGACATTCTTAACCTCAGCAACCACTAGAAAATGCAAGTAAGGATGAATTTATGTTCAATCAGTTATATGTATTTAATTACATTTAACATAACTGGTAATTAATACTGTTCTTCTCGACAAAATGTTACTTAGAAAAAACTCCAATAAATACTACATCTACTCATAAACCATGCTTTAAGTATGTATAACAGATTCCCTTAACTCTCCCTTTTTTTTACAGGAAGAAAAGAATGAAGAAGTAATGAAAGAGGATCAGCATTTTTTTTTATTCAAACCCATAAACTAATTACAGCATTACAGGCACAGGACTCCAATCACTCCTAAAGCAGATGGCCAACAGACTAGGTTTACTACAAGGCAAAATGTAACCTTCCTTGCTGTAATAGCTAGCTATTAAAATGCAACCTCATTCAAAAAATACTGGAAAGTGGACTTTCAAGTGATTAAACTGGTAACGTTAGGTGCAACTAATTTTAAAGAATTATAGTTAAGATTTCATTCACATGCTCAGAAAAAATTTCTCCCACTACAGCTTGTTAAAAACTATTGTTATAAAACCATCTTAACATATTGGAAAGAGCATGGGATGGTGTAACTGGTATGAAACAAGTTACGATTGCATGATGATGTTAGAATCAATAAGATGGCTGAAAACAACAACTTTTATTTAGTCAAACATTGACCATAAAAACATTTATGAGCTATATGTATATGGAAACTAAGAAAATATATATAAGACATACCTTGGGTATTCTGAAAATAATGACGCCATAAAGGCCTAATCTTATCTTGACCACCGACGTCCCATACAGTGAAGCTAATATTCTTGTATTCTACTGTTTCAACATTAAAACCTAAAAGACAAAAAAATCAATTTTTCATTATCAAAATAAATTCAACTTTTATGTTTATAAAGTGCTCTTTTACATGAAAACGAAACTTTAAACTCTAGATATGTGATAAGCCAAACTACGTCGTCTGCTAGAATGAAGGATTTAGTAAAAGAACTTGGTAAGATTTTTAATCTTGTATCCACAATGGTGGTACAATATCAAATTTATTTGGATACTAGTTTCGACACTTTCATATGTCCTCTTCAGCCCAACGTTTGACTATGAAAGTGTGGAAACTTGTGTCCATATAAATTTTGTATTGTTCTGTCACTGTGGATTTAAACTTTATTCTATATTAGCTGGAGTACTCATCCCCTGGATAGAAGTTGTGTAAATTTATGATTAATGAAAGGTTATCTTAGGACATGAAAAGTTGCTTCCATTATATGTAATTGTAAAAAAAACAAAATGTGAAACCACAATCTCCTCATGGACCCAACAAACCTTCATGCCAAATTTGGTGAAGATCCATCAACATGGGGTGAAGTAATGGTGCAAAATGCAAAATTGAAAATTTGTATGTATTCTCGCATGGACCTAATGAGCATCCATACCAATTTTGGTTAAGATCCATCCACACCCTGCGAAGTAGTTACATGGACATACAACAGACAGTACTATTATATTTATATAGCTTACTTTACATGGCATTGTATAATTACCTACTATTTTTTAATCTCGTGTCTGAGGCCAAAAGATTTGACGGGTTTTTTTTACACAAAAATAAGTGAAAATTTCAAAAAGTGATTTTTCAGTTGCAGTAGCGTGGTCAGTTTCTTTTCAGAAAATAATAAAGATAAGACCTCCTGTTAAGTTTCACTGCAAATTTGCACATGATATGTTATCTCGATTATGCACAAAAAACCACTGTGAGACTCATTATTAAGTGCTCTTTACATGTTATCATTGTTCGTTTGGTGAACTAGTCTTGTTTATTATAGGAAATATAGTCATGCACCTATATTTATATTAAACTGCCTTTTCCATGACAAAAATGTTCCACGTAATGCTGATTTTTGACAAAATAATCAACAAATGTACAGTTTCAGGCTTAACCTGATTCCTCAATGCCAAGAAGTAGCACCTGAGATAAAATGTTAGAACTACAAGAAGTTATCTAAATCTGTAAGGAACAAAGAAATTATATATATATATATCTTTAATCTCTTTTAATCAAAGTTATAGTTCAATTTCTATATCACAAATCCTACAAAAGACAGCCTAGCCTAATGTTACCACTACACAACAAAAGCCTCACCGAAAGAACCTGCCTATGTTTAAGCTTTACCATTAAAACTTGTGTACTTGAGAATGATTGCACCAGTGATCGAAATGTCTTACCTGTTCTAAAAAATAATCCTCCTTACTGTAAAAGCTTGAACTTATAATAAAATCAAAATTAAATTAATCATCACTTAACATTTCAGTTCTCCCCCTTTTTTTTTCACTGCATAACCATGTAACCCATTTATACAAAATATATTAGAGTCTATTACAAACACAACAGTATGAAAAATAACTAATATAAAGGGAAAATGTTATCAATATCCTCCGTAGTTTTTACTACTTAGCAAAGTGTATGAAATATTTTTCTTTAAAATCACATTTTATTTATTTTCAGGTGGACCTGGTACATCTTTTTCATTAATAAAAAATGCAATGAATACATATGCAATTCATATAAATATACAATTTTTCATGGAGTTCACCTTGCATATTGCTACCTTGAGTGCTGACAACTAGAGATAGTACTTACATTAGATATGTTTAAGAAATATGAATATTGACCCTAATTGCTTTAGAAACTGAAAGTGAATGCTTATTAGCTTAAAAGTTTGCCTCTGATGAAGAAAATTCCACCTTTTAAAAGTGCTTGGGTTATAGGGTTTCTCATTTGTGTGTTTAGTTGATCTTTTGAGCCTACACGTTTTCTTAACACCATGAATGTTAGCAATAATACCTCTTCCTGTGTTTCACATAACTTTAAGAATTATACTTATTCATCCAACTGTACTAAAAATTATAATGAATGCTTGACTGAGTGGACAAAACTTAACTATATATATATTAAAATGTACTGAGTAGCAATGGATATAAAATGTTCACAAGTTCAAAGAAAGCTGTGAATCAAGTGAAAAGTTATCAACAGGAATGCCAAAGCTTATGTTTGATTTATAAAGAAGTTTCATTGTTAAGAAAATTAAAAATTGAAGGTTCAGGTAACATTCTTAATAATTTATTGTAAAGTATATGTTACATTATGTTAAAAGTCACTGACATGAATTATCACTGAAAGATTAATGTGTTTCAGTATTTCCAAGTTGGACAAAGATGACAAAATGCTGTTTAACTAACCTTAAACTATTGTAAAGGTTTCATTTTTTCATTAATTAATTAGGCAAATCACTGAATAGTACTTTTTAAGATATTTTATGTCTAAATTTTAAAAGGTACAATATTCAACAAACTAGTTTTGTCCTACCCATCATAAAATAAAGGGTAAAAAAACAACAACAACCGACAAACACTGCCCTTCCTTCAGCGAGCTTTACTCACAAAAGTTTCCTCATCACAAAAGAAAATCAATAACACAATGAGAAAATAAAAACAATCTTCATGTACACTCTCGAAAGATCAATAGGAATGGTGCAAATGAAATAAAAAATGACTCATAATATAAGCATCACGCATACACACACACACACACACACAAATCGACACTCGTAACATAAGCATAACACATACAAATCAACAAATAATTTTTATAAGTATCAAACTATTTATCTGGGGTAGTAATAAAGAACCCTTTTCAGTAGGAGTCCAAAATCTCATTACCCAAACCTTGTTGCATATCGTCCCAGCAGAAATACACTTGATTTATCTATTTTGTGAAGTTGTCATATTCAAGTAACTCTGTGGTAATTGGAAGATTTCACCAGCTGATGTGACATATACATAGTTAAGATAGTTTTTGCCCCTGTAAGATGATGTGACCCATACATTAAGATAATTGTTGCCTTTGTAAGTTGATGTGATCTATACAGTTAAGATTGTTGTTGCCCTTGAAAGCTGATACAACCTATATAGTTAAAATAGTTTTTACCACTGTAAGATGATGTGACCCATACATCAAGACAGTTATTGCCTTTGTTAGCTGATGTGATCTATACAGTTAAGATAGTTGTTACCATCTTTAAGCTCATTCAACCTATACATTTAAGTTGATTTTTGCCCCTGTAAGCTGGTATGACTTATACAGTTAACCCTTTGGCTGTCGGGGCCATTTTTAAATTTCTTTCTCTGTAAAATATTGTATTACTTTAAAAATTTAATTAAACCTCTTTACTATCAATATATGTCAATGAAAGTAACTTTATAATATATGTTATAATTTCAAATTTTACCCTGAATTAATGACTTGATCAGGCCCAGATTTGTGATAAATCTCAGAAATATTTTAAATTTAATAAAAACATGCTTGAATGATAGCTTTGGATAAGGATTTCAATTATATGAAGATAAACATTAATATACGTTTTTCACTGGTGAGTTATTCAGTATTTGTTTACCTTTCTTTGACCACTATTTTCCAATTTCTGGTCAAAATTTGACTGCTGCTTTCTGTGCTATTTCTGATTTTAAAGTATATAAAATTAAAGTTGAACAACACAGAAACATCAGAAGAAGATCCTAAACATCCAACAACTTTCAAGGTATTTCAAGTGCAACAAAAATGCATGCAGTTAACATGGATGTGACCATGATGGAATATCCATTTAAATAATACTTTCTCAGAAAAGATGACAGAGAGAGTTTCTGAAAGAGAATACAGAGAAAACTAGAAATGAAAAGAAGGAAGCTTCTTCTGCTGTTGTTCCTTCCTCAAAAGGAAAGGCTGCTAAGAAAAAAAAACTTTGGTATTTTATTCTTTTAAACCTCATACGTTACAATGGCATACAAACCCCAGTTGGCATCTAAGTTCCTTGCAATCATTTTACAATGATATCTTTCATTGATATTTGTAAGCAAGTACACACTTTCAAGTTTGTATGCACTGAAAAGAAGTTTGGAAGTTGTATCAAAATCAGTTTTTAGATTTTGTGCTGGTTTTAAATTTGGGTCTAACAGAGTCCAAAACTAGCACAATCAAAAGTAAAAAACTAGTACTTCCGAGCCTAAGGATGTGAAAATTTAAATTTAGCATCACATTTTAAGTTTGGTTTGGTTACGCCTCAAATTCAAGATTATAAAATAATACACATATTCTTCGGTCATTACCTGTTACATATATTTGTCAGCAGAAGATATTCATATATATCTAAGTTACTTGATACAAATAAAACTAATAGTAGTAATAACAATTTTAATCTTAAACGAAAGAGTTAATCTAAGATGTTTTGTTATAGTGTTACTAAATTTTTATTTACATTCTAGAAATTCATAAGCTGAAAATCCAGTTTTATAAGAGTAGAACCACAGATAGTAGAAAAAACATGTTTCTTATTTATAAAGGTTACAGATGAACAATATTCTATAAGTAATCACAAGCATGACTAATAATACATTACAAAATGGCTTGTGATTCACTAACAAAAGGAGAATAGTCAACTATTCAAAAGCACTCAATCATTGCATCTTTTGAGTAACATCCCAGTTTGTCTACTCTCATTGGCAATAGACTAAATGGGAAAAAACTAAAAAGTACAATCATTAGGTTGTCAAATACAGAATAAGGTTTAAATACAAAAATAACTTTGGCACAGTTTTAGAAACAAAGCATTCTTGTATTAATACACTTTACAATACAATGCAATAGATGTTTAAAACATTCACACATTGATTATTTTTTATGTACACGCACATGTATACTACAAATATATCACATTAGAAAAACCTATTTTGTTCTCAAGAAATTATAATACTGCTTTAAAGACTTTTCATTTACAGTAAATTGGCATACTTACTTTACAGAAAAAATATAAAACATTTATTTTGGTATATGATTACATTAGACTAGACTAAATGGGAATAAACCCATCTTTAGTGTGTGATCCAGCATGTTAACTCTTTTATCATAATTCCCAAACAAATTTAATTTACTTTTACTCTTCAATGCTTGTAACCCTAAAAGGTAAAGACTTACCTATAGTGGGAATAGTAGTGACAATTTCACCTAGTTTTAATTTGTACAAAATTGTAGTCTTTCCTGCAGCATCAAGACCGACCATCAGAATACGCATTTCTTTCTTACCAAAAAGGCCTTTGAATAGATTAGCAAAAATGTTCCCCATTTTGTGGACCTGGACTCTTTAGAAAATCAGTCAATCTGGAAACCAGCAGAAATAGGTTACTTTTATACTTTTTCCACTTCTGTTATAATTAGAGTACATGCAATGCATTGCTAAAAAACAACAACAAAAAATAACTTTTAAGGTTTAATTTTGCATAAGCAGAAGTCAGCAAATTGGAACAAAGGATGTAACATGTAGCTTTTTGATGATATTCCTTTTGAGAATATAACCTGCAGTAATTGGAATCCAGTACATTACCATGTTAAATTTCCAGAACTAGTCTTGTTATTATTATGTAACACAACTTACAAAAGTAATTTTTATCATTACAAATTACAGAAGAAATGTTGAATTTAATGTATTGAGTTTATCAATTAAGTGCTTGAATAAAGGTTTTTGTGATTAAACAGCAAAATTAGAGCAAAACCTTAGATTGTAAATATTAAACGTCTAATAGCTGTTTCTGTAATTCCCATTCCAGTTTTAAAAACTCATTAATCACATTGGGAATCTCTTTTTTTTGTACCGTGAAAACATGAGTTTATTATAAATTACATAAATTATGACAGCAAACTTAAATTATACCTTGAAAATATGTTTTTGCTATTTTTTATTACATTACTTTTTTTCTTTATTGTATACATGTACAAGTTAAATTAAATTAATAGGTTCCCCCGCTGCCTATTAGCAGTATTATACGTGAATTGTTCTATACTTATTCTCCTGGATGGATTTAAAACAGATTACAACAATTCCAAATTTGGACAAAATACTTTTGTTAGTAAAAATAAATGTTAATAAAAAATATTCATTTTTCAGAATTTGTAGCACTTACTGGAGGTATTCAGAAATTTTGGCATTAAAGTTAGTAAAAGCTTTAAACTACATGTAACAAAGAAATTCACTTTTACTTTATATATACTTCATGACTAGACGAGGAGAATAAGAACATGGCTTCTTTAAAGTGCACCACTTTATTAAAGTATTAACCAAACGCAGCCTACCAATACAGTAAATAATAGGCATCCCTGAGAATACAAATCAACCATCTCCATCCCATCATATGCAAATAACTCAAATGTATAAATATAGTCTACAGAATATACACAGACATGTCACAAATTAAAAGATCCTGGAAATTAAATACATTTTCATTCGTGGGCTCTTCATGCTGTAGGGAGAAGAGAATGTCTCATATAAAGCAACTGCTAATGTTGCAGGAAAGATCCCGATACCATCAGAAATTACCTTCATAGCTTGAACTACTATGGCAGAGTACTTAAACAGGAGCTACTCCTCACTACAAACAATATTGAGATTCATCCTTGACTGTTCCCTGTGAAAGTGTGCCAAACAACCAACTTCTAGGGACACTCTCATCCAAATTACTTGCTAAAAGTGAGGTGCAATCCCATTTGTCTTGATATCGGATGTTGTAAATATGATGTGTATCTGTGTTTCTGCTTCAAATGTTGCAAAGGGTAGATTCACTAAACACCAATAATAATAGTGTACCATTTATTTTGTGTTTTATTATTTAATAAAATGGCATTCTATCTGGAGTGGATGTCTATTTACTTACTGGTAGGCTATGTACTACGTCATGTAATTTTTAACTAATTGACTTTCAGTTGTGCTCTATCTTCCACAAAGAGGAAACACAGCTCAAATGAGTGTTGAAAATATATCAAAAACATTTAAGAAATTACTCAAAAAACTATCTTTCCAAACTACTAGTTAATTCTCAGTTACTTTTAAAGTACTATTCATACATACTTACTGAAAAAATAAAGTTATAATTTTAATGATACCTTCAGACCTACATAAACTATTAGTAATTTCTTGCCTAAACATACACATCAATGAGGAAATATAAGCTGAGTAACAATATTATTAAACGAATGAATACTGGTATATGTAAATAAACACTTTACTCTTCAATCATCGGTCTCCTCTAGGTCAGTAGAAATTTTAAAAATTAATATACAAACTTACCTTTCCTTTTACACTAATTTACTCTCACCTTATAAAAAATATACCACAAACGTACATTAATTAAATATATACAAAAACTCCTGTTACACTTCTTTTCTATTGAATATTTTGTAACTTTGACAATTCATCCTTAATCAATAATTACTTTATTTTTATTTATAATACTTTTCACCAAATTTAAAGTGCAGCGATGGGAATCAAAGTGAAACCTAGTTAAGGTAACTCACAGGTTGACGAGTTCTTACATTCACAAAATTACAAGTGTTTGTATTGAAGACAGTTTATTGGTGACATATTTAATCTGGAAAGCTGAGAAAACTTAAATAACTATATTTACACATGGAGCTCTTTTTCAGATGAAAAATTTATGTATGTGGTACGATGTGCTGTATAGATATCTCTCCTACATCATATGATGATTTTATAACTATTAACATCTTCAGAAAATAGGACCCACATTATCCAGTATGTACCTAATACAGTGTTAATTTAATCGAGCACTAAAACTGAAAACTCTATGATGAAATTAAGAAAGTTTAAAACTTGTGACAGATAAACTACATGCAGCATTCTCTAAATGTAGCCAGGTCAGGATGGTTTTTTTTTTTTGGGGGGGGGGGGTAATTCCTCATACTTAACACTACGTAGTTGGGGGAAATCAAGCAGTTTTACAGTGTATGACACCTCTGCTATTTTTCTCATAGTCACAAAATATAATTAGTTCATACGGATTAATTTTTTATAATTTAAAAACTAAGAATGTGTTTCTTGACTTGAGCACCACACCTTAGGACACCCACCAGGTCTTTTGTATTTTAACACTTTTTCATCCTTAATTTGGAATGCTAACAAAGCTTTATGGGTCACTTGTCACCCAAAAAATATCACAATGGTTACAGTTTTCAGGATTCCATCTTCCGAGCTATCAATTTCTTTTTAATTTTTGGTAAAAGACATTGGAACCATATTTGCAAAAATATGTATGTAATACAAGTTATGAGAAAATAGGATTCCACTCAGTAGGTCTGGGGTTCAACACACTGTGTGAGCATGTGAACAGCTATTTTTAACCTTATGGTAATTGGCCTTAAGAATTTTTATCTCAACATATGGTTTCATTTTTTTTTCTGATTTATCTGAAGAAATATTAGTTCCAAATGCAAAAACAACTTTTACTTTTCAATATTGTCATAAACATCTTACAAAATTTTGGTATTTTACCGAGAAGCCCCCTAAATGAAGATATATTTCACAAATGGCCAATGGCTTCATTCCAGAGATTATCAAATATAAAAAGACAAAAGTTTCGTCCACTTTATAAATAAGACAAAATGAGAAATGTTCATATTGTTTTAACTTACGTGATTGTAAGATTCTTATTTGTGTCAATGTTTAGCTTTCTAGAACCACCGAAACTATTCCTTTAAAGTTTCCTGTGAATTGTCAGATCTGTATTAAAAATAAGGTAATAAGGTGGCCTTACTTATTAAAACTATTGAGTATTTTCACAGATGAATCTTTTTGCAGCATAGATATTTGTACTGAAGAACACAGAGATCATAAAAGTCACAAGTTCATAACCATGAACTCATTACAATATATGTATAGAATCAAGTGATTTTTAAAGAAAAGGATTTCATAACCTTTCTTTTGAAAGTTTATAACTGAGCTCAAAAAACAAATATTGCTTGCCATTAATTTTTACATTCCAAAATGGACGAATGGTGAGAAAAGAAGATTTGATACGAAATAAAATGATTTAAAAATATTATACTTAAAAGTGATGTAAGTGATAATTAGGACGTACTGAAAACCACTAACAACTATAAAAGTATGTTAATGGAGAAAATGAAACAAACAATAAAATTCTTAAACTCTCATAAAATGAAATTTGAGAAACATACGAGGTCTTTCAATAATGTTAGTGGAATTGCTTTATGAAATTTTACTAATTTTAAAGTTTAAATAATTTTGCAGCAAAGATTAATGACTATTTTATAATCATGAAGCATACACACAAGTTAAAAAGTGGTTTGAGCATTGGCTCAGCAAAAGAAAGCAAAGTTGTTAATTAATGTACAATATTCTGTTTGATGATTTTACAATATCTACAAGCCTACTGGTTTTCAATACTTCACCAACTTTAGGCATTTAACTCATTAACTGCAGCTGCTCTAAACGCGTGCGGAATTTTTGCAAGTCGTATACCATATAGGGCACGCTCGCATTCAAGTGCTGGAGGTGGACTGTTCCCTATGTATTGAACCAGCAGTCAATGTATTAAACCACAATATAACTAGAAATATCCTTTATAGTTCATTACTGTAAATTATTTTGATATACAAGTGTTGCAAGCTTTGCTTAAATTATAAATCATTTACTTTACGGTTGAAACTAAGTTGAGGAAATCTAATAGCAATAATATTAGGCCTAAGCTGAATTTTCAAAATGTGACTTACAATATGTTGTAATTTTCTATTAGTTTGTCATGTACATTTCTCAAATAATTTCCTTAATTGTAATTGAATGTTTTAAAAAGTACTTTTTCTGTTCTCAACAGGTTAGTGGCATGATATAAATAATCTTAATTTTCTTATTACAGTACTTTTCTACTCTTCATCAGTGATCCTGGACACTACCACCAATGAAAGTTCAGACCAAACCAAGCCTTTATAGTAGTGAGGTATTGAAAATCAAAAAGGTGTATTTAAGTGCTTTACATTCACAAAAAAGAAACCTATCATTCTATAGGTATTTGAAGAACTTGTAGCATTCCGCCACAATTTAATTCTTCGTATTGTTAGCCAACACTAGGTCGGTTTCCATCTGTTATTTATTTGCCAAACTCTCCAAATAATCTAAATCCTTTTGTAAAGCAACAGCATTTTCATCACAGCTAACAATACTGACCATAAAAATATCATTAGAACATTTAAGCATTTTATTGACTATTCCTTCACCTGTCATAATATGAATTTTAAATGCTTTTCATTGCCACTACCAGAAAAATTGTACTGTCACGAGCACTGATAAAGTCAACATGTAAAAACACTTATTGATTATCATTACATTAATTTAATCATGTTCTTCATGTCAAATTGCTGAGACGTACTGCTGTTTTAAGTATAATTTTTTTTAATGACACTGCTTATCATACTGTACATAACCAAATTAATGTTCTTCATGCTGGACTGAGTTCTGTTGTTAAAATGTATTCATGTGATCGTTCACATTCATTTTTATGTCACACTGATGATGCTAGATGTATTTGCATACAATTCTCAAAAATGTTCTGTTTCAAGAGCAAATAAAACCAAAATTAGGAATAACAAATATTTTTATTTCATGCTTTTGATTCATGGCATGCGTATGTTTTACTTGCATCACTACAGCACAAATAGCAACATTAAGTGTCCCTTATTGTGACATCATTTTAGTGTCTACTGACTGACTGATAGACAACACACTACTGTATAGTGGCGTGAGTGGTTAAAACAGGTGACACCTCCAGGCAGCCTTCGGCCCCCTTTCGGGGAAATTAATTTCTGGCTGTGAGGAGGATGATGTTGCTTTACCAAAGGATTTAGATTATTCGGCAAGTCTGGTAAATAACTGACAAATGGCTTTTAATTAAATAAATATAAGGTAATGCATGAAGCTTATAATTCAAATTATAAATATAATTATGATGGTAATAACCTTAACAGTGTTATGGAAAAAAAAAAGAACTTGGTGGACTGGTTGATCAGTCTCATAAGTCACCCAATCAGTATTTTGTTGCTAGTGGTACAGCAAATATATTTTTAGGTTGTATTTACAGAAATACTGAATACAAGTCTAAAGAGGTTATTTCATTGTAAAATATATTGGTTATGCTTTATTTGGCGTATAAGGTTCAGCCTTAGGTTCCTTAAATTAAAAAAAGACATTGCTTCATTGGAAAGGGTTCAAAGGACAGCTACTTCAACGACACTTTGGATGGAAAGATTGTCATACAAGAGGAGATAAAGGTCTCTAAAATTGTTTTCTCATGAAGAGTTAGAATTATAGAGGGTCTAACTGAGGTCTATATAATTTTTCTGGAAATTGATAATACCAACAAACCACTTTTTTTTTTTTACTTAATGGTAGGTCAGGGTAGGAGACATCTTCAACTAAGACAATATAACTTTTCCAACATGATGGTTGGCCTTTTGAATTGGGTTTAATTCACATGCAGTGGTTGCAGTAAATTTATGGGAGTTTACATGATAAGGATTCGCTTCAGTGGTGTTTGTAAGCCCCACAATTGCAGTGGATCCTGAATCATAATTAAAATTATAGGAAAATAAATATAGGGAGCCCTATTACGTTTTATGTGTCCGTGTAAGGGGGGGAGATATATTTTGTAGTTACACCACTGGTTGGCTTTAAAGTTTAGCTTGGTCAATGAGGCAGTCTTGATGGACTGACAGACCACTTTTCTTAAAAGTTCGATGATTTATGAATTATTAGCATCTTTGAAGTTTGATCAACAAGATGACACTAACAGTAACAACACCTGCTATCAAAGTTTCAACATTAAGGTTATTAAAATTTATTTAATCATTGTAAAACTAGTACTAGTAATAGTTACAGAACTTGTAATATGTGCACAATGTAAACAATATATATCTATTGCTACAATACTTTAGTTTAAAAGCTATATAGGCCCATCATGGATATTTGTAGTAAAAATTACTGGGGTTTAATTTTAACTAAGTTAAATAGTTATACTATAACTTAGTTATAAGTACAATAATTAAAATCAAAAGAGGATTATTCTGGTACAAGTACTGGTGTCAAATCATATTACGACACGTTTATCTTGCCTACGTATGCTGTTTAGCTGAACCACCCATCAAATAAGTCTATACTGGTACTAAAGAAAAGCTAGTTTTTAGTTAGTTTTTAAAAATTTAATTCAACCCTCACTTAGCTACTCACATTTGTTTAGTTGTTAAGCCTATTTTCTTTCACCTGTAACACCAGTTAGGTAAAAGTAAAACTTAAATATAAAATGTAATGACTAATGTATTAAAAAAATCATGCCCAATTATAACAATAAACTTATGAGTAGCTAAAACTACAAACAAACTTAAAAGCGTTGAGAAATGGTTCTGGTTCAAAAATAAATGACGTACAATAATATAATAACAAAAGTTATTCCTCAGTATTTCGTATTTACTTCTCGCATAACTCACCTGCTGCGGAATAGGGCACAAACATCGAGACACTATGTATGAAGAAAAAGTAGCCTACCTATAATTTTTAGCGAATTGCAATTTTTGCAACATCAGGACAGTTTTTGATATTTCATTTTCTTTTTTTTTATAGATATTGGGCAAATGTTTTTTTCTGATATAGAATATAAATTAAATAACAATATAAACATTAGGACCATTTGTTTGTTTGTTATGGATTTCGCG